TTTGATTATTCCTTTATTAGGGAATTGGTTTAAGATCTCAGCGGTTATCTGATCCCAACCAGGAGCCTTTTTTAGTTTCATATTTCTTATTTCATTTTTTATTTCTCTTAGCGAAGTTGGTTGTATTGCTTGGTTTAATGGATTTAAATTAGACGTAGGAAGATTATTTCCATCATCATTTAGTGTAAATGTTGCTTTAAGAAATTTTGCGAATAAATCTGCTTTTTCTTCGTCACTTTTGGCCCATGATGTGCCATCTGCTTTAATAGGAGGATTATGTTTTATAGGATGTTTTACTGCTTTCACGGCTTTCCACAGCGAGTAATCTGTGCGTTTCTCATAGGAAAGGCTTCTAAGATTCTGTTGTATCTTATCGTTTTTAACATTATTGATAAGTTTTCGTAATTGTGCAGTTTTCCTATTTAATTCCGTTTTGTCAGTTGGTGATCGTGTTTGTTGCCATTTTTTACGCAATTTCCTTTTTTCCCATATTAGTTTATTTATTTCTTTTGGAAGAGTTGGTCTAATCTGATGTTTAGAGAACTGTGAAGTACTCATCCATGCTGATTTTTGAATTTGCTGTGTAAATAAAAGAACTTCGTTATCCACTTCAGTCGCTGAGTTTAGATCAGAGTTAAGATTAAGAGTGTTTTCAAGATGCAGCCTAAAGTAATCCCAGTCAGTAGATCTATTTATTAGGTAAGGCTTCGGTTCATTTATGACTATACGCATCATATTTGACAAAAAAAAATTAATATTAAAAATCTTATTGTATTGTTCTTATTCTAAAGAACTTTATCAATAATACTTATATCACGTAGAGAAGAAAATATATGATGACCTGTATTATTTTTATTTTAAACTTATCAAGTCTTCAAGCATGCTTTCAAATCTATTAATTTGACATCTATGCTAACTTAATAACGATATGGTATTTAATAATTAATTGGGTATATAACTTAGTTTTTTTTATTAAAAAAACCAATACATTCGATCATCTTTCAACCAATGGAAAAAAATTGTTGTCTTTTGATGCGATCCATTCAACGAGCCATTTTTTGATTTCTTCGTGCTTTCTATCGGAACAAGTAGTACTCATAATTTGATTGAGAATATTCTGGTGAACAGTTAGCATGTGGTAGAGTTTCCCACTTCAGTCCTTCCGAGGTACTTTTTACTTGTGTTGAGATATATGGTCCAGCATTGTCTTACAACAATTTCTTTTTATGATTTTTTTAAATCAATACATGTTTGCAATCTATCCATTGTTGTTGGTAACGAACAGCAGTAACTGTTTCATTCGGTTTTAGCACCTTACAGTGAAACACGTTTTCCTGATCTTACTATATACACAACTTAACGTTATTCTTATTACTATTGATTTGATATGGATGGTTAGGCTGAATAAACCTATAATTTTTTGCGTTTACGGTTATAGTAATAAATCCATTTTTTTCGCCAGTTTTCACAATTTGATAAATAAATCAAATTGTGATACAATCTTCAAGGTCTAGTCTTGCAACCCATGAATCGATTTTCAATGAATGCTTCAGTCAGTTCATGTGGTATTTATTGTCCTTCTTTTTTAATAATTTTCACAGCATGTAAATATAGGCTGCTTGAAACTGCTGCTCATTAAGAAAGTACACTACTATCAATCGAAGACTTACTAATTGAAGAAACTTTTTAGGTAGCCAACTGAGGCGTTTGTATTACGCTGTCGATTGTCTTCATTAATGTACTTTCTAAAAGTATGACCTTTCTAATAAAAACTGTCACTGAATATTCGCTCTAGATAATTCTTTCTTACTACGGGACCCGAAGAGAACACTGCATTTAGATTATGTTCATAATGTTATTATTATTATTGGGAAAAGGGATAGTGCACTGCGACCTGAAAGATCTATTGTACCCCCTAGTCAGATTCAAATCCGATTTCTTTAATGAAAGACCGTATAGAGCCTATCTTCCCTATTCTTGAATCCTTATGGTCCATGAAATGCCCTTCTAAGTATTTCTTCCACCTGATCGTAGATCGAATCAAGTCTAAAAGACTGTTTTATTAAAAGTACTACAAATAACTCTAAATAAATTTTCTTATACTTTCTTAAGAAAACTTTCTTAATTTTTGCATCATTCTATTATTTATGTGTCATTTAATATGTATGACTACATGAAAGAATAGCTTAATTTATAAAATAAAAAAATATTTACAATTTTTGATGTACTTTTCTTCTTATCGCAGTTGGATACACAACTGCTGACGTCATCTACCGCTGGAATAAAGAACGTCCTGCGGTCGCCATAGCTGAGGATATGAAATTATCACAGTTTGATTTGGTGGATTGTCCAGCAGGAAACATGACAGACATTGTTTACAAAGCAGCAGCGCCAACTAGCAAAACAATTCTTAAAAATAAAACATTAACCGCGTTTGCTGGGCCAGGAGCTAAGAACCAACATGCACGTGGCATTGGTCTGCAACTCGACAAAGGCTTATTTGGTAGCGGTAAAGGTGATGAAAATGATAACAATGGTAGGGTGCGTGTGGAAAGCCGTGCTTGTGAGTAAAATAAAATTAATTCTATGAAATTAAAACTTTAATTTTATTTAATTTTCATATATTCCTTATATTCTCAACTTTTAGCTGAATACTCAATGCTCTTGGTAAACTTCCATTTACAACGCCACATGGGTAATTTCCTCATACAAGTGTACGGCCCCTGTTGTTTACTTGTCGTACTCTCTTGGGTTTCATTTTGGTTGAATCGTGAAGCCACTGCCGATCGTGTATCACTTGGTATTACAACTGTGCTAACAATGACTTTTTTGGGTCTGGAAGCACGTACTGACCTGCCGAAAGTGCCATATCTAACAGCTTTGGACTTTTTTGTATTTCTTTCCTTTGCTTTTATATTTGCCACAATACTACAATTTGCTGTGGTACATTATTTTACAAAATATGGTTCAGGAGAATGTTACTTCATCATTGAGGATGCTGAGTCGGAAACGGAATCCGAAGTTGAGGAACGCATTCTCAAAAGCGATTTCAACTCAAGTACAGATTCGAAAATATATGAAGTAATACCTTTATCCATGTGTTCAATAACCATACCGAGTAGTGGTAAGACTTCAGCTAGCAGTAGCGGCATCGGTCTTGGTAGTAGATTGGAACGTAAAACTAATGAACGACGTCGTCGTAGTGATGGTTTTAGTTTTTCCTGTTTGAACTGGCCTTGTTTTCATAAGCGCCATAAAAATCGAGTAAATTTCGATATGTCTGATGAGGATGATGAGGAGTCTCATTTACGTGGTGGAGAAGGTAATATGTGATAGATTTTTTAATCAAAGTTAATGTTTTTGATTTAAATATTGCAGATGGCACACCAAGACGTTCGGCTGGTCGTCGTCGTATGTCATTTTATCGCCGCGAAGAATTAGAGGCACGCCGAAAAGGCAAACGTACACCACAATATAATTCTGTTTCGAAAATCGATCGTGCCTCAAGAATTGTTTTTCCACTTCTCTTCTTCCTTATTAATGTATTCTACTGGTACGGTTACTTGTCACGTAGTGCACGTATACTAGCGCACACGCCATCATCCTCCTGATGTTACCTTTTAGCAATTTAGACAAAGTCCTGGAGGAAATCAAAACAAATGAAGCAGCTAATGGCAGTCACTCCATAAATCGAATTCTTTAATTGAGTTTGAGATCAAAAGGGTACAACATCAACTAATTTATGCTATATTCAATATGATTTGCTGGAACTCTTCAATCTTCTGCTTCTTAAGTTTATTTAAACTGATTTCTTCGCGCTAAATTGCTAAAGTAAAAAAATATTTTTAAACATAATTTTAATAGGGACTACAATTTTTTGCCATTGACTTCATATTAAGTGAAACATATCACTTTCTATAATGTCAATGATATTATTAAGTATATTTGTGTATATTTATTTGTGAATATTTTAAAGAATCTAAGGAATATGTATATTTGTTTGTAATAGTCTTAGGTTTAAGTACATAATTATATATAATTATTATGTTGCTATATATGCACCATTTCTATTAACATGTTCGTACTTAAGATTATATTTTTTGCGATAAAAGACACTTATTGAGTATTTATTATATATTAAGTTAATTTATATTACAAATAACAGAACTTACCCGTCTTACTATAATTTCAATATTCATTAGTCCGGATACAACTATTATACAACATATCACTAACGACACACATTTAATGTGCATAGTTCTATAAAGAAATACATTATTCAGGAAAGGTCCCACTATACTTTCAGTCACTGTAACCGATTTCTGACGATATTAAAGTGTCTTCTGAATCATACAACATTTTACTTATATTTGACAGTTTTGTCTCTAGACTCTTGGAATTTATACTGCCAATATTATTATTCCTTTACTATTATTTAATTTCGTATATATATGTCTGCAGGCTTTAAGAAACATATCATGGAAAGGATTAATAAATAAAAAATATTTTTGCCTGTGTTAGTAAAATTCAATATTTGTTTTGAATAATTTTTGTTGCTTTGCTGACTTGTCTGCCAATATTTATAGCCCTTTATATCAGAGTACAGCCCGCACAACAAATCCAAAAAATATTTACAATAATGTGGAGACATAATATATATATTAAAATTGATTATAATAGTCTTGCGCATAATTTAAGATATTTGCAGTTCTCTAATGATTATATTTTGTTTTTGCTTTTTTTTTTGTGGAAAATAGGAGCCCTGATATGATAATATAGTGGGTTTAACACAATATTGTTATGAATGCAGTAGCTTAGTAATTTGGCAGCACTAATGTACTCCAAGAGTCTTATTTGTCTGGATTTTATATCTTTGATTTTATAGTTTGTAAACGTAACTTTACTTCCTGTAACAGAGAATCCCTCAATAATAATTTATAAATAATAAATTCAATATATACACATTATTTTCTTTTTCTAAAGTTGCTGGACAACAATTTTTTATTTTTATAACAAATTATTCTTTTATACACAGAAAACTGAAACTATTATATATAAATATCTTTTAATCATAACCTAAAACATATCTCTCTTCCCTATCATCTTATTTCCCCTTTGCCTACAAAATATGTAATTGATTAAGAACTCAAGTTAAATGCAAACTGAACAAATGTTGTTAAACACATTATTTAATAAGAAAGTATTTAATAAAAGTTAATTAATTATTATAATAAATTTTTCAAATAATTATAAAAATGTTAATAGATCTCCGAGAGCTGGTAAATAAGTATCTGGAATGTATTTTCTGTAGTCTTCTATATTTGGATATATGTTATGTAGTTTTTCTAGCTGATAACTTCCAGTACCAACAAGTAATGTTTGGAAACCACAGTTTTTTCCGAATGTTACATCAATCTTGCAACTGAAAACAGGAGTTAAATATTATAATTTTGTACTGGATCACATATTTAGAACAAAATTTTTAAAAGTGTAAAATAATATAAATGAAGTTAAGAAATAATATCTATTAAGAAATTACCAATCTCCAATCATTAAAGTGCGTTCTGTTTTCAACACTCCAGCATTGATAAGACCTTCACATATTAATGGATTCGGTTTACCCATTTGCATGACAGCACGATCGACACAAGACTCAATTGAACTCACAATGGATCCCGTATCGGGTATGTGATACATTGGAAACCTTTTTACAGGATCAACATTTGTTGTTAAAAATAAACAATCATTATTTGTACCCAAATAAGTAGAAGCTTTCATCATTTTTCCATATGAGAAATGTTCATCCCAACCAACTATAACAGCACCGACATCATGAATCTTATTATCAATCAATTCACTTTGAATATAATCAATCAGCCTGCCACTTATTACATCAGGACCAACACCAAAATGCTTTATGCCTTTTGCATCTAATTCATCTGTTATTGCCTTGCTGCCAATAACATAGGCAGTTTGTTGAAAATTTAGGTTACTGAGATATTCTGCTATCGTATGAGTAGGTGATATGATGTTCTCCTCTTTTATGTTAAAACCCATGCGTTTGGCACGTTCCCAAATTTGGTAACGAGTTTTTGTTCCATTGTTGGTTACAAAATACACCAATTTGCCGAAAGATATAAATTTATTAATAACCTCGGGAGAACCAGGAATTACTATATCATCATGCCAAAGTACGCCTGTAAAAATTTAATAATAATTAAATTAGGAAATTAAAAATATTACACAGCATTTTGGCTTTGGCCGAAGTAATATGTTTTTTTTTCTCTACAATTCCATAACCTTGACCGTGATTAATATGAGTGAGCTCTTCAAAGTATCGTGAGTACAAATAAAGCTTTCTGATTTGGTAATGCGTTGGGTTTACTCTCCCCTTAAACTGCTTACCATCACAATCCGTAAGTACCGCATCGAAGGTATCCAACCAGCTACGCACTTCTTCTCTTGTTGAATTCAATAAATTTATTACATTTTCTTTTGATGTTTTATTACTCATAATTAATACAATAAATTAACTAACATAAAATAATTTTAATTTATTTAAATTAAAAAAAATTAACTCAATTTTGCTGCACGTTGTGCGATCACCGAAGCAAGTCTGGTAACTTAATCAAATTTTCAACTACAATTTTTGCCGAAATTAAATCTCTTTCATTCAAAAATAAGAGTATGAAAGTGTTTTGTGAGAAACTCCAAGCAAACATATTCACTATTTTTGCTCCAAGAAACGAAGCTTTTATGAACTATTATGTATCGATACTATGTTTCTCATAACATCTTCAGTTTTAGAGGCAATCGCTGCTCGCTTCAATCGCATGCGGTAAGAATTTATAAAATACCGCTTATCAAATGATTTCGAGCAAGATTATAAATTATCATTTATATATATTTTAAATTTTATATATATATATACATGTCAGTGTTTTTGTTTTTTTCATACTATATCCCACTTAAAAGCATTATGTCGACAGTTATTACATATGCATAGTGTCTGCTCTGCTACTTCCAAATCCTTATATTATATATTTTAAATATATACGATATGTAAGTTATATATTTTATATATATAAAACATATATATGATATATGAAATATGTAATTCTACTTCACTAAATAATAACTTGCACTCATTCTATCAAATACAACAATTATACAAACTTATTCTTTGAGAATTGATTATGTGAATAAATATTAACATTCAATATAAATATTTAATATACAGAAAGTGTGAATTATCTTATCAAATTTAATATATTTATTTTCTATAACTTCTGATAATAATAATTGTAATCACGCTTTTACCAGTATACTAAAGTACATAAGAAATAAACAATCTTAATAATATTATAGATATATAATTAATATAATCAAGAGAGTAATAACATAAAAATAAGATATCAAATAAACAACTGAATAATATAACATATAACACAAAAAATGGGTTACATACATGTATGTAATCTGAACAATATAAAAACAAAATGTCAATCAACAACAAACCACAAAATATAATAGCTATCTGAACAATACATAATAAAATAATATCACAAACTAAACAATCTAATAACTAGATAATTATTAGATAATCAACAATTAGATAATTAATAAAGTGTACTCAAAACTGAACTAAAATCAAATCCATTTACAAAATAATAACTAATTGACAATTATAATATATGTCTATCATAACAATCATCTATGGCTAGATAGAACTTATTGATCATAGATTCTGAATATAGGTTCTTATAGGTCAACTCAATAGGGGAAAAACTAAGTACAGCCAAAAAAGAAATTTAATTTCTAGTGAAAGCAGGAATCTGTCAGGCATCGAAGAGCTGTTCGGCTAGTCCATTATGGTGTCTTCTACCACATCAATAGCAAATTATCGTGCTATATGTTAAGAGCTTTATTAACCTTCGTTATTTAAAATCATTAAATATCTGATAATTTTTGAAACGTGACGTCTTCAAGTCTTTGATGTAAATTTCTATTAGTCATTGAAAGGTATTAACACTATATCGATTATGTCAGTGTTTCTGTCTTATTCGTGTTATATCACACCTAAAAGCATTATATTGAGATATTTAAGGAAAATATGTGCTCTGCTACTTCCAGACCCTTAGAAATAAAGTCTAATTTATCAATTGATAATATATTTTTAACCGGTATTAGAGTTTATATTAACAGCTCATTAGTTATGCTAAGATTTCAAACGGTTCCCACTTCTTTGGGTTTTCAGAAGTCGAAAAGCTATTGTCTATATATACATAATACATAGTTTTAAATTAAATAATTGCATTTTTCGTCAATCATTATACTAAAAACACCATCTGCCTTATTGACACAACAAATAAGCTTTATAAGTCTGGGACTGACGAATGATATTATTTCTGTAATCCCATTTATAAGAAAAATATAAATATTTCTTGTGTCCTCCCATAAGAAAATAGCAATTTTCTTATGAAAAGACAGTTATGAAATGTTTAAATATGTTGGATTTTTACGAACAAATCGCCTGTTGTACCAACTATAGTAATAGATATTTTTATTATTGTAATCCCCTTTGGGAATGGTGAACGATATTTGGTCATTGAAATTGATGGGTGGCTCCAGAAGGCAGACATCGTTTCTTCTACTGTAAATTCTGCATGATATAATTCATGCAGAATACATTATATATATACATTATATATTCCTTTAACTTCTCGTATATATATATACAGATATATAAATATGTGATGGTATGTGTAATATACTATAGTATTATCACAGAAAAATATAGCACAGAAAGTAATAGAACCAGTTTTTATCTTCAATTGGCATATATTTAAAAATAAATTACACATAGTCATATAAATCAAGTACAAAAAATTGCAATTATAAAATAAATATTTTGTATACTATTATTTGTTACATTAAAAAATTCAAATTCATAATTCACACATAATTAAAACCTTTAACAAATTGTATTTGAAGCATTTCTACATTTTAGTAAATTAAACCAATTATAGTAGCGTCTTTTCTGGCTATGCCGATTCTCTTTATATTACATCACATAAACTGCAATAAATCTCCAAGTTTGGGCAAATACACATCTGGAATTAATTTTTTTAATTCTGGATCTGTTGAAGATTGCCATTCTGCTACATCGTTTAGATGATGTATGCCAGTACCAACAAGCAATGTCTGGAAACCACAATTATAGCCGAGCAATACATCTGTATTGCAACTAATAAAATAGATAATAAAATAATATATATCATTATCTCATATTACAAATAATTCAATTAGACATACCGATCACCGATCATAAGTGTACGTGCTGGATTAATGACATTTCGCTTAATCAACCATTCACATATACCAGGATTAGGTTTTCCTATTACTAAAGGTTCACGTTCAGCACACGTTTGTATAGCGCGTACAAAACTGCCAGTACCGGGAATAACCAAATTTGGCATTGGAAATCTCTCATCGGTATTCGTTGCAATAAATAAACAATCTGGATCACTTAAATATGAGGCAGCTTTAGTCATTTTCGGAAAACTGAAATGTTCATCGAAACCAATTAGAACTGCACCTATATTTTCTTCCGGCTTGAAATGCTGCGATAAATACTGTTGCAGTGTACCCTCCATTACATCTGGCCCAACTGGTGTATGATCGATACCAACGGAATCCAGTTCTCTAGTTATACCAGTTGTGCCAATGACATAAACTTTCTTATTAAAATTACGATTTTTGAGGTATGCTGCAGCGGAATGAGCTGTCGATATTATGCTATCCTCTTCTATACTAAATCCTAAGAAGACTGCTTTTTCTAATAATTCTGTACGGGTTTTTGTGGAATTATTTGTACAAAAAAATATTTTTTTTCCTAGTTCTTTGAAACGATTCATTGTTTCGACAGAACCTTCAATTATGTTGCTATAAACCCATAGTACACCTAAAACGAAAAACAAATTTAAAACTTTAGTGTATTCAAAAGATATATGGAAAACTTAATATATAAATGATCAATAATAGAATATTTTTAAAATATTTTTGTTTATTTGATTTGATTGATATATATAGCTTAGGAGTGGCTCGCAAATTTCCCAAGTAATACTTTGGTCTAAAAACGGGAATAAATGTTAAGAAAGAGGTAATCCACTTTTATATTTACCGACGTAACGGGAGTATTACAAAATCTATTCAGAAAAAGATTAAATTTAAAGAAAAACATTTGAAATAAATGTTAAACAATATAAATATAATTAATAATTTAATATTTAAAAATTTTTGTAATTATATTTTAATACAAATGATTTATTATGATATAAAAATAAAAATTGCCTGCTTCAATTGGGTTGCGATGTGAAAACATAATATTACTAAGAGCTGAGAATACTCATTTTGGTACAAGAAATGTGGCATATATAAAATAAATAATTTTTTTTTCACATATTGAGCTTTGCAAGGAAATTTTTTACTCCTGAAGGTTTTACCACTCAATTCAAATTAACATTAATTTGTTACTTTGCTAAATAAAAATTGATGTTGTAATAAACCAAGCTTAGCCTATAAAGCTTAATTTCAAATCTAATTCGCTATATAAACTTCGCTCTTAATGATATTTCCGGTGGCATATTTTATTTAGCAGATTTCGCTTATAGACTTTTAAATTACGGTTCCAAAATGACGGTTTTCGAGATGTATAAGTAGTCGAGACTAAGCGCACAACGGGTAGTTAATATTATTTGTGTTAAAAAGTCACTATCGCCGACACATACTTAGAAATTAATTTCTAGGTTTTTTACAGTTAATTTCAATATTTAAAAAAAAAAAGGTATCTCATTTAAAAGTCATTCCGCATTAATAACAAATACGCAAAAGTATAAATACAGTCCTTCAAATTATTTCGAGGCATGCTCTGACTATGTATCTATGTTATAAGTAAGTTACTACTGTTGTCCATTTCCCCCAGTGGGGCATACAGCCTCAATAATTCTTCTAAATCTGACTCTATTTAGTGCTTCTCTGTAGATGTAGTTCCATGTATATCATGCTTCAGCAAACTTACTTTCTCCAAGTTTTAACTGGCGCACTAGGTCTTCTGCTAACTTGTGGATTCCATGCCAATGCTTGCCTCACTATGTAATCTCCCGGTTGTCTAAGCGTCCACTTACCATACTTTCGCTTTTTGAGTGGTTTGGTTTAGCAGACGTTCATTTGATATTCGATCTAATCATCACATTTTCAGAATTCTACGTAGACACTTCTTGACAAACACTTGCATCTTTTTCTCTATATATCTGGAGTGCTTCCATTTTACGTTAGTAACTGGTTGTCACTAAATGATTTAGTTATTGATTAGATGATTAACAAATTCATCGCTGGACAGCACTATCATCGTAGGAAATGGTATGAGTTTTTAAATGAGAATTGTGTTAATTTGAAGATATAATCGCTCTGTCACTTATTGCAATTTGTCATTCCTTAATCCAAATATCTAACTCAATGCCAATCAGGTTACATCGTACATGTAGCTTTAATATATTATCTAGTAAATAGACATCAAATAGACATCAAGCAATCAAACAATCAACATCTAATAATACTTCCAAAACCGCGATTCGATAATAACATACACCCAGGCTCAAAACTCTGAGCTCGATGCAAAAATGAGAAAGACACCTTCATTAATCTCGTCAAAGAGACGTTACTTTTTCTCTAAAGCTTTTATTTAAATGTGTTCGAAGTTTATTGAGAAGCAGAAACAAAAAAAATTGACGGTAATGTTGAATCTTTATCTAAAATGATAATTATCGGATAATTTATATTATTATATACACAGTAAACAAAATTTACTAACCTGCTATAACATCTCCTCTCTTAACTCTCTTTTGATATTTATAAGGATTTGAATCAATTTTATACAAATTACGTGACATTAGTAAAGTCTCACAAATTGTGAACTGATTGTTCAGTTCACAATTATAGTACTTTAGTACTTTAACACCCAGCTTTTGCTTTAACAAAACACTGCTATAAAATCTATTATTTGTAAAATTCTTAAATAAATGACATTTATATCTTAATTTATATAAAATATATCATATCATATATACTCGTATCATATCATTTGATTTACTAAAATATTTAAGCCAGACATTAAAGAATTTTGTTACTAAATAACTAATGGATTTATATGTATTTCACAAGCCGGTTCTATTTAAAAATATGAAATTCAATTAATTCATATAAATTAAATGTAATATATATAAATATAAAAAAAATCTGTCACTGCAATTACACATGTAATAATTGTAGGTCTTCAGTGAAATATATACAATTTCGTTAAATATATATTGTAAACAATAAATGGGCAAAGTGAATCACCCACACCCAGCCCATACTCTTAATCCCTTCCTATCCCCGGTCACTCTTCTTGTTCTCACAATACTGTCAAGCATACCCATTCCTAACCTATTGTCGACTTCATTTAAGTATATATATTAAAAGAAACAGCAGCCAAAGTGGTTAGCACACATACACAGGATTAAGCTGTAATCCATTTCCCATCCCACACAAATATTCTTCATATCCATCATCTTCCTTAACCTACATCCATTCTAAGATCATATGTTTGTCATGTTATTCCATTCAAGTTTTCTGATCTATAAATTTTGATGGGCCACAATAATACAAAGGTCAAACAAAGTGCCAACTAACAGCGCTTATAACGAAAATGAAGAAGATCAGCCAAAATCCAAGGTAACAAGGTAACAAAAAATTATCGTAGAAAATGTCTATACAAATATTTATAATGTTAAGAAAAATCTTAAAATATTTTAGAATTTAAGCATTGAAAGTTTGTGCAGCCTTGGCTAGTAATAGCATAACACGATTGGTCGTCGTTTCTAATTTCACAGATACATGTTCTAAGTTTGGCACTTGCAGTCCAATCAGTTATAAACAGACTATAAACTACTATATATCGACTTCATATATAAGACTATAAACTATATAAAAAAATCGAATATATTCTAAAAGATTACTGAAAAATAATTCTTTTCATAATAAGACGTATCATATTTAATTTCAAAAATTAACATTTAACACTACATAGGTATTGCACAAAATTGAATTATCAATATTAATTGTGAAACAAACTCCTTCACTCCATTTATGCAAGCACATTATGCTCAAAACAGCATAAAATGTTGTATAGGTGCATGTAGCAAAATTAGTAAAGGCCAAAGTGCTAGATTACCAGCATTAGTATCCTAAAGTTAAAACAAAATTAGAATAAAAACAACGATAAAAACGCAATAGTAGAATATATTTTACAAAAATGTTTTTTAGAAATGTTTTAGACATTAAAAAAGAATTTTGCAAAAATAATTATCTTTGAGAAACATATTGAAATTTTGGACAGACTCGAATTTTTTTTTATTTTCTTTGATAATTATTGTCATTATTTATTATAATTATTTATATATATATATATAATTATAATAATATAATAATTGTTTTATAATTATAATTATTTTATTATAATTATAACATATTTTTATTAAGGCGTAGTATAATTTCTAATAGAATACTAATACAGCTTTATCTGTTAGATATCTATTGAACTAGTTTTTGTGTTAATAATATTAACTTAATATGATATGCACTACTCAATAGTTACATCGATGAACTGAGATAGGCATTTATTATTCGCACCACCATAAAAGATAATTATTATAAAAATTTAAAATGTAAGTATGAGTTATGTATATGTCAATTAACTCATTACGTATTAACTCATTTACTTGTTTAAGTAATGAAGGTGAATTGAAAGTCAAACTTTCATTGAATGGAATTTAAAATTGATTATACCAAAAAATTTGTTATATAACTTTTGTGACTTTTACTAACAGAACATCAATAATTTTGTTTTTCAGAAGAATTAAATTTTTATTTGATTGAAAATATAAATAAGGAATCAGAATAATCGTTACATTGTTGACAAAATGGTAAAACATCCAGCTTTACATTATAAAACAAATGCTAGTCAGTTAATTTAAAGTTGAAATGTTATGGAATTGAAACACTGACTTTTTTGCATTTATTAACATTCAAAGAGCATAACATCAAAAACATAACATAATATAAATGCAAATTATTATTTTCATCACAATTGACTGTAACTAGCGCTCAAACAAAAACATAGAAATATAAAGACATGTAATTTGCCTCTGTTAAAAAAATCATGAATTCTGAAAAGGTACACGCAATGGGAAAAACATGTCTGTTCAAACGTATAAACAATCGAACTTATTATTTTATGTATGATCAATGCTATTTTGTTAGTGAAGTCAGCAATCAAACCAATAGCGAACATGTTGTATTTTGCTTGGACAAAATCATATAGAAAAAACTCTAATATCAGAGCAAATGCACACATAGCTTCTAGTTCATGCGTATGTAAGTTTCTTGGTAAATTTTTTCTACTCTTCTTTTTATTGCACACTTACTAAATATATATATGCATGGGTAGGTGAGACAATATATTTGAATGTGATGCTTGGATTTTGTTTGTGTGCTTTTTTTTTCCTAAAATATATGACTGGCTTCGTGTGCATGAAATACACAAGTCTTCCAAATTATTTAAAATTTGATTTTTGCTGAAATTTTATACTGGCTTCATACTAAAATATGATATTTGCCTATGACATGATGCGAAAACACCGGAGTAGCGCAACCATAATTGTTATTAGTGTAAATGCTCTTTATATGTTTGGCTGTCAAGACTCGGCTATGCCATACAGTAACACTAGTTTCATGAAGAATCTTCATAAACACCATATTATACAATAATTGATTATGCTTTATATATTAAGTTTTTATTATTATATTCTTATATGAAATAGAATAGAATTATTAACTAAATTTAATTACTTAAATTATATAGATTATATAGATTTTATAAACCTTAGATAACTAATTATACAAAATTAACTAGAACTATTAACTAAATTTGATTACATATTACTTATTACTAGTTAAAATAAAATTATTTATATAAGAGTGAATAATATTATTTATTGTTAATTTTTCTAATCAGTCATAAATATTATTAGACAAATATTTTTACATAAATATACATTTTTACAATTTTTTTAATTTATTTTTAAATTTTGCATTATCTTGGCTACTTTTTAGTAGCCACTTTGAGTTCTTATATAATAGAACTTTTATTAAGAAGTCCAACAAAATTTCGCGATGGCTCCCGCACATCGGCTCCTCAAACCAATTTTCGCTTTGTACATTTTTTTTCATTTCTTCTTTTATGCTATTTATTATAATTTTTTTAATGCCATTTACATGATATTCCTTATATTCCATATATGTAACAAATTTTCACGTACAGTTTGCATATCACATTTCAATCAAAATTTAATTGCGTGCAAGTTAATACCTATATATATTTCTTTGCGTTTACTAATTATTAAAAAATTATGGCTATTGTTTATAAAAAGTGTATTTTGAATTGTCGTTTTAATGACATAAGTGTTATCAAATTTTTTAAATTTCCAAATGACAAAACCTTATTATCAAAATGGATTCAAAATTTAAACTTTGCAAATAGTTTTGTTCCTTCTAAAAAGGATTTGCTTTGCAACAGACATTTCAGTGATGATTGTATTGGAAATCGGCGATTAAAACATGGATGTGTGCCAACATTAAATTTAGGTAGTACACAAAAGCATTATTGTTTGTTTCCTTTTTATGATATTATTATAAATTAGGTCATAACTTTAAAGTAGCAAATGAATCCAACTTAATTGTGAAAAAGAGGGGAAAAAAATGCTGCATTCAGTTTTGTTCTAGCACCTCTGAAAAACATAGACTTTTTCACTTTCCAAAAGAAGCTGCCTGTAGAGATACTTGGCTGAAAGTTTGCAAGGTGGAGGATAAATCTACATTGCTTATATGCAGTCGGCATTTTGAAAGCATATATTTAAAATCTTATAGATTCTAATCTTATAGATTAGAATTTAAAAATAAATTAAAAAAATTGTAAAAATGTATATTTATGTAAAAATATTTGTCTAATAATATTTATGACTGATTAGAAAAATTAACAATAAATAATATTATTCACTCTTATATAAATAATTTTATTTTAACTAGTAATAAGTAATATGTAATCAAATTTAGTTAATAGTTCTAGTTAATTTTGTATAATTAGTTATCTAAGGTTTATAAAATCTATATAATCTATATAATTTAAGTAATTAAATTTAGTTAATAATTCTATTCTATTTCATATAAGAATATAATAATAAAAACTTAATATATAAAGCATAATCAATTATTGTATAATATGGTGTTTATGAAGATTCTTCATGAAACTAGTGTTACTGTATGGCATAGCCGAGTCTTGACAGCCAAACATATAAAGAGCATTTACACTAATAACAATTATGGTTGCGCTACTCCGGTGTTTTCGCATCATGTCATAGGCAAATATCATATTTTAGTATGAAGCCAGTATAAAATTTCAGCAAAAATCAAATTTTAAATAATTTGGAAGACTTGTGTATTTCATGCACACGAAGCCAGTCATATATTTTAGGAAAAAAAAAGCACACAAACAAAATCCAAGCATCACATTCAAATATATTGTCTCACCTACCCATGCATATATATATTTAGTAAGTGTGCAATAAAAAGAAGAGTAGAAAAAATTTACCAAGAAACTTACATACGCATGAACTAGAAGCTATGTGTGCATTTGCTCTGATATTAGAGTTTTTTCTATATGATTTTGTCCAAGCAAAATACAACATATTCGCTATTGGTTTGATTGCTGACTTCACTAACAAAATAGCATTGATCATACATAAAATAATAAGTTCGATTGTTTATATGTTTGAACAGACATGTTTTTCCCATTGCGTGTACCTTTTCAGAATTCATGATTTTTTTAACAGAGGCAAATTACATGTCTTTATATTTCTATGTTTTTGGCTCAAATATAATAGGTGAAAATGCACACACAGTATTTTATGAACCCTGTATTTTTGAATATAGAATGATAGGGCCACAGTGTATTAAAACCGCACATGTCAGCATTTTATTTTTTGCACATGTATGAAATTTGTTTGAAATCGTTGTCACTTTATTTCTGTTACAGCAATTAATTATCAACCTTGACCGTGAACATGACATTTCAATAAATTGTGGTCATTTCCCAACATACACTATTTTCTACATACATACATGTATATATGTACGTTTGTATGTATGTATAAGGAAAATTATATAGGCACCACTTTTAATTGGCATTATGCAATATAAAACTCAAAAAACACATTTTCCATTTAAAACTGCACTTGTTTTTTATATAAAATAACTCACCATCACAATCGGTTATGACGGCATCAAAAGAATCCAGCCATTGGGTCACCTTGTCTCTTGGTTGCTCCAACAAATTCACTGCACTTTGTCGAAACATTTTATTTAAGTCAGCACTTAAATTCGGTCTTTCCGCTGGCGCACAACTAAAATAACAATTAAATGTAATGCGATGATGAATTAAATAAATTTCATTAATTATTTTAATAAATTAACGAGCGAGTTTCATTAACGTGCTGCGATTAGCGTCACCGAACCGTTTGTGGAAAATGTTTGTATTGTGTTTATTGATTTTCTCATGCTCACACTTCTATCAACAAAATGCGAAACGATTACGAAATTACTGTTTATAAATTACCTCAAATCGAAATCGCTCCCCTTCAAAACACTAAACTTTCTATTGCCCGTCCAGTTGTCGCTGCTGCTTTTGGTGGTGTCGCTGCTTCTGCTGCTGCTATAGGCACATGAATTTTCAAAATTCCTGCTCGTATATTTTAATACAATTCCATTTTTCCGCATTTGAATAACTGGTATTATGCTCCATTGTTGCTGCGATTTGATTATGCGTGCGAGAAGTAACATTGGTTTTACTTTTTGCTTTGTCTTCGTTTTCTATGAATGACGAGAGCAAACTATGTTACTCTTTGAATGACAACCAACTGTCAAATTATATGAGCGCGTATTTCAATGCACAATACGCGTTTTGCGTATGTATGTGTATGTGCGTGTGTGTGAGTTGTATGCAATCAGCTGAGCTATTTGACCTTGCAATTGTTGACTTTGTTTTGATTTGCAATTTAAAATTGAAGGCAATGTTTGTTTAATTGTTTAGGAAATCTTTTTAAAGTAAATAAATCAATACAGAATTATTTTAGTAACGAAAGATTAATGAAAGAAATATAACTAAAGTGTATATTTATTTGAAATTATTTATTAGTTTAAAGAACTTTTGCAAAAATAAAACACATTTCTTGGAATGCAGTGCTTCTATACCCAATAAGCGCACATACATACATATATTCGTACAAATTGTGAAATCTTAATGTCAACGGCCGGGAAGTTTATATATAAATTAACATATAAATATATACAATATTAACAAACAAACGACTATTTACGTAATATTTTGATGACGTTCATTATTCATATTTTTGAAACATACATACATATTTAAATATTACTCTTAATCTGGTGTTTTAACAACAATAAATTGTTTAAATATGTATGTATAGAAATATATATAT